GTGCGTCCAAGTTTATAGATGTATTTAATGCATCAAAATGCCTATATGATACTTTTATATCGGACTTGAACGAGGCATCATATATCGCCTTTACCTTACTCCTCATTCTTGTCATGAATATTTCCACATTTTCTTACAAATTGATTTTCGAACGTGGAAATCTCAACTTTGGTTTAAAGTTTAAAAAAAGCCAATATTTTACGCAATATTTTTTTGAGGCCCTTAATATCTTTCCTCCCATTAGACGCTTAGTTGAGCGTCGAGAGCAAAATGCCGTTAAGGAGGTTATGGATGCGGTGCATGGTCATAAGCCATGTATACTATACACCAAGACGTTGCCTTCAGAGGGAAGTGATATGGTACGCTTTTCAATACTTTTATAAACTAGAAAACCGTCTTGACTAAACTGTCTGGCTACACTTCGAGTAAGCTTGTGCCTCGTTCCTCAGGTTAAAGGTAAGATTAGCTGGGGAGATGGCCATGCCTCAGGAGCCGTTTATCCAAATAATGCAGATCTAACTAAACTTGTCACCAAGGTAAACCCATTATGTTATTTTTAAACAACCAATAGGTATTTAAAATGTTTTCTTGGAGTAATCCGCTACATCCGGATATCTTTCCAGGCGTAAGAAGAATGGAAGCCGAAGTTGTTAGAATGGTTTGTAATATGTTTCATGGTGGTGACGAGAGCGCTGGAACGGTAGGCTATTATTATTCTTTAGTGCTTCTTTACCTGTTTATGTGCATTCTAATTAGGTAACCATATATAACATCAACATCCTACATAATTCTGCGCCTTATGTCTGTTAAAATGCATTTTAAGTGAAAGATCTACTTTTTTGTTACTGTCACACAGTACACTGCATCTAAAATTTATGGCTCAATATTCTGACATGTCTATATTAATGGGTATAAAATATTTATTGCCACTCCGCTTTATTTAGAATACATGTCCTCATTTTCAGGTGACTTCTGGGGGTACGGAAAGCATAATGCTTGCATGTTTTGCATATCGAGAACTTGCTTTTGAACGAGGAATTACTACACCAACGATGCAAGTTACGTTTAACTTAAATTTTGTTCTTACTTTTTCTTTTTTGCTTTACATGAAATTTACCAGAAATTGACCCATATTAGGTTGCTTGTGATCCCCACCTCTTGGTGGCTTGTGTTATATGACTTGATTCCTATCCTTAGATATTTGTTTTAAAGATCAAAAACT